GGGTCTCATTATGTAGTTCAGGCTGGCCTTGAACTCACTATGTAGCCTAGGCTGGTCTCAAACTCCCAGTGATCCTCCTGCCTCAGCCTCCCCAGTGCTGGGACTACAGGTGTGCGCCACCACACCCGACTTTTCAAAACTATTGTGAATGGTATTGTTTTCCTGATTTCTTTCTCAGGTAGTTTGTTATATACAAAAGCTACTGGTTTTTGGTTTTTGTGGGTTTTTTGGTACCAGGGATGGAACTCGGGTCCTTGCACTTGCGAGGCAGGTGGCGGAACCACTAAAAAAGCTATTGGTGTTTAAATGTTGATTTTATGTCCTGCTCTTTTGCTGAATTCATTTCTAAGCTTTAAAAGTATTTTGGTAGAGTGTGTAGGGTCTTCTAAGCATAGGATTATATCATCTATAAATAAGGGTAATTTGACTTTTACTTTTCCCATTTGTATCCCTTTAATTTTTGTTGCATAATTGCTTTAAAATTTCAACTACTATATTACAAGTGGTAGGAGTGGATATACTTGCATGGTTCCTGATTTTAGAGGAAACCCATTTAAAACACTATTGGCTGTAGGTTTGCCATATATGGCCTTTACTATATTGAGGTATGATCCTTCAGTACCTAGTTTCTTCAGGGTTTTTATCATGAAGGGATGTTGAATTTTGTCAAAGTCTTTTTCAATTGAGATGACTATGTGATTTTTAGTCTTGATTTGTATCATGTGTCATGTTTATTAATTTGCATATTTTCAGCCATTCTTGCTTTCCTGGAATGAAACCACCTTGATCATAGTGTATAATCTTTTTTAATGTGTTGTTGAATTTGGTTTGTAAGTATTTAATTAAGGAGTTTTGTATCTATGTCCATGAAACCTATTAGTCTATAGCTTTTTGTTGTCACCTTCTCTGGTTTTAGTATCAGGTCCTTTCTATTTCTTTTTTTTTTGGTACCAGGGATCAAACTCGGGACCTTGCACTTGCGAGACATGCGGCAGAGCCACTGAGCTAAATCCCTGGCCCTGGTTCTTTCTATTTCTATGGATACATTTTAGAATCAGATTATCAGTTTCTACAAAAAAATGCTTGCCGAGATTTTGATTGGGATTGAGTTGTTTATAGAACAATCTGGAGAGAAGATACATCTTAGTATCAAATCTTCTGGTGCATCAGCATGGTATTTCTCTCCATTTAGGTCTTTATTCATTTCTTTCATTAATGTTTGGTAGTTTATCCTTTCTTATTTAATGTTTTAATAATGCTTTTGTAAGTGGCATTTCAAAGATTTGAATTTGTTATTGTGTGTTGTTAGTATACAGAAATGCAATTAATTTTTATTAAGACATTATTTCTAGACTTTATTGGTGTGCTAAAGTGACCAGCCATCCCAGTGTGTCTGAGACTGTCCCAATTTCAGCACTAAAATTTTTAGAACTTAAAAACTATTTCCTAGATTGAGAAATTCCTGGTTTTCAGTGATGAATGCACAAGATTAAGGGAAAAATACAAAGCCTGAAATGGCAACCCCAAAGATAGAGTTTGAGAGGAACACTAGTTTTAGTACCAAATGGGGACAGCATCTTCCTTGGTCTCTGCTGCTGGTGACAGTAACCATGATTTGTAATCACAATCATGGATCATCCATTATTGCATCACTCTGAGTGATGCAACTTGTGGACTGTCATCCTGAGCACGAACATCCACCTGCCTGTGGATTCATTGTGATGCTTTGTATTGATGGAGTACTGGTTTAATTTTAACATGGTGAATATTGGAACCATGCTTTTTAAGAATTAGGATAATTAAAATGCTAATAACTACAATGGTCATTTGCAAGGCTAAAGGACCATTATTTCAGTGAGAGTTGGAATAACACATACACCTGAGATAGAGATCAAGACATAAGGGCTGGGGATGTAGCTCAGTGGTACCGATCCCCGGTACCGCAAAAAGAAAGGAAAGAAAGGAAAGAAAAGAAAAGAAAAGAAAGAAAGAAAGAAAGAAAGAAAGAAAGAAAGAAAGAAAGAAAGAAAGAAAAGAAAACAGTAAAATAAAAGCCCAAGTATAAGAAATTGTTCTATGTTGATGCATTGCATATATAGTATATATGTATGGGCTGAGTGATAGTAAAAATACTATATATATAAGAAAAAAAAAGATCTCAAGGGCCAGGGATTTACCTCAGTGGTTCTGGCGCCTGTCTTGCAGCACAAGGTCCCAAGTTTGATCCCCGGCACCAAAAAAAAAAAAAAAAAACAACTTTAAAGAAAAAGCTCTAATCTCCCTTTCAAAGCGGATACTACCTATGGA